GTGGGAAATTGTGGTCAATGACATGAGACAAAGTATATGTGAACTGCTGTATGGAAAGTGAATTTGCTCTGTAAATCTTCACCCAAATCACAATAAAATAAAATAAAGCCCTTTGGTGCCTTTATCGTTTTGCCACTTTCTCTGCCCCTTGTCCCAATACAGGTTCCTTAGAGGTGGTCTTTTTTAAAAAAAAATAAGTGAGGAAAAACAAGGAAACCAACACTCCCCTACTTTCACACAGCAGGTAACTATAGTAACCAGAAAATGTACCTAAAGAATCCAGGATAACTATGGAAAGACCCTTCTTCAGATCTGAACTACAACCAGAGCGACAATGTCACCATACACTGACTAAACCACAATTAGTAAACCCAGTAGAAAGGCGGCTGCCTCATCAGTTCTCAAGTCATTGTGAAAAACAGCTTGAAAGGGCTAATTCTGCTAATACGTGCAGGCCCATAATTATGCAGAGTAAAAATATCTTGATTTACTGTAATGCAGGGGTCAGCAAACTTGTTTCCATAAAGGACAGACAGTACAGATGCCAGGCTTTCAGGGCCAACAGGCAAAACTGAGAATATTATGCAGGTACTTGTGTATCAAGACAAAACAAATCTCCCCAACGGTTAGTGACGGAATACAAAACGCTGTGGTGGCAGAGACAACTCAGAACAATTGTTTGTGATACAGGCCGGCTAATGAGGAGGACGGAATGCTCAGGTAGGAGACAGCAGGCCACTCACTCGACTGGGGCTCAAAGGTGGTGTTCCCTAGCGGCAACATCGATGGCAAACGTCCTTCTGTTAACGCTGATCTCTAACGAGTTTACCGATTTCATCTTTGAAAGTTACTCTTCACAGACAAGTCCTGCCAAATACTGTTATTCACAAGTACATGATTTCAACTCAGCATATCATTGCTCGAAAGGCATGTGGACAATTTACTCTTCTCTTGATCTTTGCCTTTTAGCATTTCATCACCCACCCACTGCCATGGAGTGAATTCCGACTCACAGCACCCCTAGAGGACAGAGTGGAACCGCCCCACAGGGTCTCCAAGGCTGTCAGTCTTCACAGAAGCAAAGCCCAAACCACACCCACTGCCGTGGAGTCCATTCTGACTCACACCGCCCCTAGAGGACAGAGTGCAACTGCACCACAGGGTTTCCAAGGCTGTCAGTCTTCACAGAAGCAAAGCCCAAACCACACCCACTGCCGTGGAGTCCATTCTGACTCACACCGCCCCTAGAGGACAG